GAGTTGTATGCCTAACTGAATGAGCCACCCAGGCACCTCTCCCTTTGTCTCCTTTATAGAGGAAAACACAACAGGAGGCAAGCAAAGTCCATCAAAAGAGAATGGTAATTAACAATACCAAAAAAAAAAATTACGGGAAGCTGAAAGTCTTAAGTAATCATACGATTGCTGATAGGAATTCCTACTTTCTTCATTTGGAGTCTTTTTTTGAGAAAAAAATGTTAGTGTGAATCAGTTTTGTTGAGGTTTCTCAAATCTAAGATTCATAATAACTCTTTAGAAAATAAATGAAACCAACTATACCAGTTTTAAAATGATTACTGAGAAGTTTGGGATTCTTATTAAAAATTTCACATTGTGCAAGGGTTATATATATTCTGAGGAATATATATGAGTTGAAGAAAGGGGGAAAAATCCTCCATCTTCAAGGGCAGTCTCCGTGAGGTAAAGTTGACCTTATAAAATAGCATTCAAGTGGGTTTTTTTTTTTAAATGATTCATTTATTTAGAAAGCAGTGAACAAAACAAATAGAGAACCTCGTGAGTTTCTAGAAGCTAGAACCTAGTAAGCTTCAAAATTTTAAGTGAGTCCACTCTCAGTATTGAAATTACTGGGAAGAGTCTCTGATGCTTAGTTTTTTGAAGTGAAATTCCCTCCAAGTACAGGATTTTGGTTTTTTTTGTTCCATTTTGTATTGTTTCTTCTCTTATTTGTACTATCAGCCTCCAGCCTGGAATCAACATCCTGTGAACAAGTGCTCCCTTTGTTCTTATAGCAAAGATACGATAGGTATGATCTATTTAACTTTTTAAATTTTTGTTTCTTATATGGCACTTAACATTTTATATTACCATGGATTGTTGGTTTTTAAGAACACTACAATTGATATTTTATATAGCAGTTATCTTGTATAGAATTGGATTACTGTGTGTTTACTATTATATTTAATTGTTTGTAGGAAAAAAACAGTTTACATGTTTATCAATAACTTTGCATAGTATTTATCATTTATAAATCACTTTACATTCATTACTTATCTAATCTTTAAATCAAACCTATAAATTAAGAAAGATAAATATCTGGATTTCTAAAACATTGGACTAAAAGATTATTCATTTAATTTTTTTTTTATTTTACAGGTAAAGAAATTTTTGGTGATTGGCTCATGAGCAGAGTTAGTTTGTGGACATATTAGCATAATTTTAGGTTTTAATGAGGGTGCCTTAAGGACATAAAAGATTTATCAAGAACAAAGTTAACATAGCACAGAGCAGACAAGAGCTTAAAGCCAAGACTTCCATGTTTAATATCCTATATTCTTTTCCACATTATCTTGTGGTCTTGGATTTTTTTTGTTTGTTTTAAATTTCTGACAACAACTTCTTGATTTATTTGATTAGTCTGGCCTCTCCGTAAATAGACTTATTCCGTCAACTTGATGTATTTTTAAATTTAATCTACCAAGTAGAAAATTGAATCTCTCTTGCTATTTTTAAAAACTACTTGTTGACCTCAGTCTTGGTTTTAGCATATTAGAGGAAGTGAGGTCAGGAACATTTGGACTGAAAATCCCAAATCCTGACCTTTAGCTTGAACTGACTTTCTTAAGTGCACAGGAAATTTCTTAGAAAATTTATTTCCAAATGAACCAGATTACTTTCACAGAGAGGGTACAATCAAAACTGTGCATGGTGAATTCAAAATAAAGTAACCCTTATTTCATATTTCTAATTTTTTTAAATAATAAGTTTGCCATTAAAATATCTTCAGAAGCATTTATTTATTCTATAAAAATAATCTGATAATAAACCGAAGTGAACCAGCCTACCTTTTATAGTTTCAGATATCAACACCTCAATTTTAATCAAGTAAAAACCCAGTTCATATTATGATTTGTGTTCATATTCTTACCCCATGAGTGGCTTTGTGGAAAAAAAAAAAAAGCCATTTATTTTTTTTTTAAATATGTCACTTTATATATATGGAGAAGTATAACATGTAATTCAGACTACAAATATAAATAAAAATAATAAAGTCTTAGTAAGAAAGAACAGGACAAAAAAAAAAAAGAAGGTAAATCATGAAAGAATTGGAGTAAATAGTTTGAATTGGCTGGGCAAACTCAAATAAATCTGTTAAAAAGTAACTTCATGACTGAGACCCCAACAGAGCCCACAGCTGTGATTCCATAGTGCCATGATGTTTCTACTCTTCTACTTTTGGAAAAGGTATGGTTAGCATAGGAAATTGTTCACATGACTTCTGTGTTTGTTTAGTTGTATTCAGTAGCAAAACAACAGAGAGGGGAAATAATTTTTATTAAGAGTTGGTTGTGTGACGCCTGAGTGGCTCAGTTGGTTAAGCGTCTGCCTTCGGCTCAGGTCATGATCCCAGGGTCCTGGGATCGAGTCCCGCATCGGGCTCCCTGCTCCGCGGAGAGCCTGCTTTTCCCTCTGCCTCTGTCTCTCTCTCTGTCTCTCATGAATAAATAAATAAAATCTTTAAAAAAAAAAAAAAGAGTTGGTTGTGTTCCTTTATAACCATAAATTTATCCAGTCTTCGAAACCTAACTATAGACATGATCATCCACATATATGGATTAGTAAATTGAGTGTCATTGGTTGGCAGGAAGTCAACTCTGTAACATGGATTAGCACACAGGAATTGTATTAAGGAATGCTCTTAGGGTCAATAATTGTACTGAAGGGACAAAAGTAGATGGGCAGGCAGAGGACTTAGACAGTAGAATAGCCTCCATTGACACCAGGAGACTCCCATAGCTGGAAGAGCCATTCAGAGGTGTCCTGAGTTGACATAAAGGGTTTGGGTCCTTATGTCATTGCATTGACCAGTCATTGGATGTTGGCCACCCTTGCAAGAAGTGATATGACCTTGAGCAGGTAAAGAGGCTCTTTACAGCTAAGGGTTATTCTTGTAGAGAGCTGACAGCTTATATCTCTCAGTTGGCAACCGTCTAAGGAGTTAGGGAATTTAATACTTTAGCTTTAATAGAAATCCAGTTGTAACAGAATAGCATCCCATGCATTGTTAGGATTCACTTGCTTCTATAGGGTCTATAATTTATACCATCAGGATTCTGCTGGATTTCTTTTCCTGGGAGAAGCTGAGAGGAAGGTTAATGGAATAAAAAAAAAAAAAATCCTGTGTTGCTATAGCTGTTTACAAGGATGTGATTGATACTCATTTTCTCCCTCCTCCACTGCTCATTCTAGATTCTTCTCACCCTTGGCTACAACCTTAGTTGGTCTAGGCATCTTATCATGGTGAGGTTACCCAGATCTTCATCCCTGAGAAGTCTAAATTTTGGGTTCTTACGGCTTTCTCAGGCTACAGCTTCTTCATTTGTCCATTTACCATCAAAATTGGACAAATGAGTCCTAAGGATGCCCAAGTGGATCACATGGATGCTAAAGGTACCCACAGTATACAATAGTAGCCATACCTCCTTATGATGATCAGGGCCAATTATCCCCCTAGCCTCACCCCAGGAAGATGATTCTTCTTATTTGTTCTTTTAGCAAGCAGAGTCTAAACATCCTGATTTCCAGCTGCAGTTTGGTATCATTGCTGTGACCTTCTCTGTGGCAGCATTCCTTATTTGGGAATCAGAACTTCTAAAACCCACAGAGCTCAGAGTTACAGAGAAAAAAAGCACAAGATCACTAAATGGATTACCGGGAGTGTTGGTATATGAAGCTACTTCTATGTCTAGATTTCAAGACTTAAGTATTTTACCTGGGAGGACAGAGCACCATACTATGGTCACTAATTTAATGAGTATCCTTAGCCTGAAGGAGGATACCTCTTGTGCATTAGCCACACCTTCATTAGGTTGTTCTATCACTCTATTAGGTCAGCTGCTTCTGAATAGTGCACTATGTGTTAGGAACCATACATCCATCCCTTGACTTTCCTGTTACAGAGTCAGTCCTTTGGTCTTATGTCATATGGGTTCGTGATTGTTGGAATCAAGAATTTTTCAAGCCCTTGCATAATGGTGCTGACTAAAGTCCTGCTGGCAGGGAAAGTAAACCCATGTTCAGAATATGACAATTCCTGTGCGTATAAATTGCTGTCTCAGAGAGGAAGAGGTGCACTGTAGTCAGTGCCAAGTATCTGGTTCTTCTTGAGGGATGGCTCTCTATTGGGAGCCTAGTAGTTAACCTCTTGCTGGCATACTGGACATTCATCAGCAGCAGTAGATAAGTTAGGCTTGATGAGCGGAAGCCCCTTCTATCAGGTCCATGTGTAGCCTCCATTGCTGCCACCTGGGCTTTCCAATCATGTGCTCCTATGTCAACACTGGGGTAGCTAAAGGCAGGCTGGCACATATCATCTGTCCAGGTAATTCTGTCTACGTAATTTAGTAATGCTTCCTTACTGGATGTTCTCTGATGGGCATTAGCACACAATAACAATAATATTCAAACTTATGTCCACATAGATCCATCGACCCACTTTTCCCAAGTATTCCATCTTGTTCCTGATCAAATGTTTTAGCTTCTCACCACTGCACATGAGTTGCTATATATTTTAAACAAAGGACACTTCTACACAAGACAACTGATACACCACCCAAAACTCTACTAAGAGGATTTCTCCTCTCCACTGTCTTTCAAGACCATCCACAACCAGGACTATCTTGAGCCAACACATCTGTGAACCAAGTTTTGGCTTCTTCCTTTGTTAGTCAGTGTGTAATATTCTCCTGAAGATGGCATGGTCTTGCTCCAAAATCTTGGGAATGTATTGTGATTTTCCCATTGGGTCTTCCCAGAAATGCCATACAGCATCCTTTCCCACTATTGATAGATCTAATAACTCAGACATCTGACCCAGGAGATACTTGTACCTTAGCCTGGACTTTCCATGCTCTGGGCTCTATCCAATCATGACAGCATTTAATCACCCAGTGTGTGGGTCATATTATTACTACCTGGTATGAAATATCTGAGTTTCAGAATCCAAAGGGACCTACCAGACATTTTGTCTCCTTCCTCTGTGGTGGTCTGTCTCTGGAGAAGGGTGTGGACTTGGGCAAGGCAGCTCTCTTCAGATGAAAATAAATCCAGGAAAGGACTTCCAGAGATCAGTTGCAGGACAACCCTTGAGCTGCTGGGCAAAAATACTTCAGTCCCAAAATAGAGATCTGGGTAGCAGAGCATAGAATTCATGACACTGAGGATAAAAATAAAAGTTACTCATGGTCACAGTGCCAGACACAAGGTTGGAACTGTGGTTATGCTTTGCTCCAAAGTCCACTAGATCATGACGAATTAGCTGTCATGTTCAAGCAGACCTTGCTTAACGTGCCATCATTGCACATATATTTCTGTTGTTTGTATATTTATTTAGTGCTTATCATAGATAAACATAACATTTTAGCCATTAGAATTCGTATGCATAAAAAATATTAATTGTACACATGAATCTCTAGATGAGACCTACTTATTTTATTTTTCTGAATGGGCACTTTCATCTCCTTTGCACATAGTGAATGGATTCATTTTAACCATTAAAATAAAATGAACAAGGTTAAATCTGGTAAACATTACTCTGCCTGATTTTGGCATTTCAAAAATGAATTATAGCTAAGGATAATAGTGCTTGTGGAAGCACAGACAAGCAAATACAGTGATTTCCCAGGGCAGACATTTTAAATCATTTAACTTTTTGAAATATAGGTAATGAAATGGTGACTTGCCTCATTTTTTTTTTCTTACAAGAGAGATAATGATTTCCCTATAGGAGCTCATAATGTGGCAAATGTCTGAAGGAATTGGCATAATGGAAAGCGAATGCATTATAGTGCTTATTTGTCTCATTTCTGAAAAAAAATAACATTGTGACAAATTATACTCATTTCACAGTTTATCCAGACATTCTGGAAAGGAACAGAGTAATTATTTCCATTAATGCCACATATCTCCTGAAGACAGATATAAGTCAATTCACCTTAATTTTATATTTTATTATAAAACCCTTAGAAAAAGGGAAAGATTAAATTCATATAAAACAAATCCTCATAATTTCATCCTCATGAGTAATTAAACATGAAAAATGGGATTTTGAGTAAGACTTTTGATACTTCTGTCAGCCAGTGTGTTCCTGTCAAGCAACAAGGGACCAGATTTGACATGCACATAATTTTATTGTCAATTTTATTGCCATTTACAATGCAGTATAGAATGGATTTTTAAAAACATATTCTACTAAGAAGAATTAGCTTGCATAATGGAATCATCTTTTATGTATGTCAATCAAATGACCACTAAATCCATGAATCACTTTATATAGCAAACCATATGAACAAAACAAAATAATTTGAACACCTGAAGCAGAAGGAAAAAAGTTGGAATCCTTTCACATTAATAAATACCGTCCTTCCCTTCTAATGAAGTTGGCGCTTTTTTTTCACCAACAGTAACAATACTTAGCCTATTGTCTTTATTATTGTTGTTTGCATGTTGTATTGGTGGTGCTTCACTCCGCTTTCTAGATTTCAGGAAATAGTTTTAGTGGTCCCTTAAGGTGCTTTCCTCAGGTGAAAGAAGGAATACAGCATTTGACAGCAATAATTACAAAGACAGATAGCTTCACAAAAGTATAAATAGGATCTTCAGAGCTGTCACAGATGAAAGTTTGAAAAATACTTTCTAGAACCAAAAGTGAGTATAAATTAATACATAGTAGTTTTTTTAAGATGAAATTAAGAAACATGTATTACATATATTTTAATTTAATCCTACTATTTCAAAAATGCCAATTACTTGTAGTCTTTAGCTAGTTGAGACTTTTTACCATCTTCATGACAAGAAAAAAAAAAAAATCCAACCAGTCATATAGCTATCCAACCTTAATATTCCATGAAGCACTATTTTAATGACATTTTAAGCTATCTGCAAAGACCCTTTATTTAACTAGGTCATTATTTTAAAATGAAACAATCACCCAGAGTTCTATAATTTAGTAGAAAGAATGTAGGTGTCAATGCAAGACCTACCCTGTTGGAATACCATTTCTCTGCACATTCTCTATTAATTGATTCCTTGGATATCACAAAATAATCTTGAATTCTAAATAGTTTTTGTAACTTGATGGACCTTGACCATGTTATTAGTGAGTATTTCACATTAATTGCTATTGACCATCCATTAAAAAATACAAGTATAAAAAAAGCTTTTGATTTTAACAAATAATTCAGTTAAACATTTTTTTCTCAGTTTGTTCAGAGACATTACTACAAGTGAAGCATTCTCATGTTGTGATCAAAGAGTTACTTGCATTATTTCATTTCATTTTTCTCATTTACAGTCATGCCACATTAAAAGGACTTCTAGTAGAGTGGGGTAGGTTATTCACATAGCTGCTTTACAAGGAACTCTAAACTTTTTGTGCTGTTAAAAGACTTTGCATATTTAACCTTCCCACTGCAAAATGGCTACCAAATGTGCTTTGGGAAGTCTACAGAGGAAAAAAGTTAATTTCTGTGTCTCCTAGTTTCAGGACAGGGAGAGAGAAGCCAGACTAACCTTTGAGAAGTGTTCCCTAGATTGTCCACTGCACGCCTCTCCCCAAGTGCCTCATGGGAGTTTTGTTTTTCCTAATCTAAACTAGGAGTACAACAAAATAAAGCAGCCTGTCACATTGCTGGGAAGACCAAGATTTCCTTACCCTTGGGTATCACTGCAACAGGAGAAAATAGACAATTAGGAAAGGATACAGTACTTCACAGAGTTGGTTCCTTGCATTTGAAAATCAGAAATTAAGTCATTAATTCCAGTGATATTGAAAGAGGTAATTAAAACATAATGGGGGGGCACATCTGGATGGCTAAGTCGGTTAAGCATCTGCCTTTGGTTCAGATCATGATCCTGGAGTCCTGGGATAGAGCCCCACATCGGGCTCCCTGCTCAGTGGGGAGTCTGCTTCTCCCTCTGCCTCTCACCCCATTCGTGCTTGCTCTCTCTCAAATAAATAAATAAAATCTTTAAAAATAATAATAACAAACCAGAAATTATATGAAAATGTTTACCACAATTCTTTAATGACGATGCCATGTTTGGGGAGTGGAGGAAGGTAGCATCTGAAAGGTTGAGTCAGTTATGGATTCTGCCTGGACTACTTTTCAAATTATTCTGACCATCTATTTTAGCTATCTGTTGTGACTAATAAGCCATCCCAAAATTTATTAACGTAAACCAATTTATTATTATCATCTCTCATAGTTTTCTGGGTCGATTGTGTAGTTCTGTGTAGCTCTCATTTGAGTTTCTTTTATACATACACAGACAGATGGTGGTCAGGGCTACAGTCATCGCAAGCCTGGACAATATCCAAGAAGGCTCAGTCATATTACTAGTAGAGGAGCTGGCTATCATCTCAGAACTCACATGGGGTTGTCAGTGAGAGTGCCCACAGATGGCCTCTCTATATGGCTTAGGCTTCTTCTCATTAGCATGGAGAGTATGTTCCAAGAGGGAATTTCGCAACTGTGAACATTCCAAGAGGCCCAGAGAGAAGATAAAAGGATTTGACCTCTTATGACCTATCTTCAGAAGTCACACAACATTATCCTGTTGATCAACGTAGTCGTAGGGTCCAAACAGATTCAAGGGAGTAAAGAAATAGACTTCATCTTTTGGTGAGTTAGTGGCAAGGTAAAAGAACAGGTTGGATGGCAGATATTCTTATAGCAGTCATTTGAAAATATAATCTGACACAATTCTAAAGTATGCATCATGCTAATTACAAACCAGTTGTAATATATTGAGACTGAATATGAATACCACTTGGTAAGAAATGGTAGCTTGACAAAATAGGACCACTCTTGTTAAAAAGTTATCAGTTGTAATTATCATAATTACCGATAATGGAGATTTCTGTGAAGCATTCAACCCTCATGCATGCATTACATATCGGTTTCCACTGCATTCTGATAACATGAAAGACCAAAACTACTTGGAATTCCATTCAAAATTATATTATTATATGTTACCATTACATGCTAAAATTCCTCTTCCTAATAATGTTGAGAAAATTCTACTCCTTGTATTGAAATTACAACTTCCTCTCAAGGAACACTTTTTTTTTTTTTTAAAGATTCTATTTATTTATTTGACAGAAAGATAGACAGAAGAGCACAAGCAGAGGGAATGGCAGAGGGAGAGGGAGAAGCAGGCTCTGCACTGAGCAGGGAGCCCGATGCGGCACTCGATCCCAGGACCCTGAGATCATGACCTGAGCCGAAGGCAGACGCTTAACCGTCTGAGCCACCCAGGCGCCCTCAAGGAACACTCTTTTTATCACCTTTAGAAACTCATATTTTCCTACCCAGACCTTACTAATCTCTAATATTGTTAAAGTCAGTTCAGTTTATCCTGCAGTGTTGGTGAATCCACTTTTAGGGAAGGTGGTCAAAGAAGCAGTCGACACATATATAATGGTTAATGTTACCCTCCCTGAACTACCTTTTTTCCTTCAAGATGACCCCTTTCTATGCCAGCAATACCTTCACTGCTGTTTTAAAATATTAACTACTCCCATAGGGGAGAAGAGTCACAGTAAAATGGTTAAGACTATAATGAAGTATAGTTGGTTATGCTGAAAAATGGTGGTTCTCTACATCAGACTTTGTGCATATTATCCTACCTTATTCTATGGAGGTGAGTAACCAAAGTATCAAAAGTTTAATGTCATATTAAAGTTTCCACTTTCTATTGTTTTCTCTGATTCTGGCAATCCCATTCTTAATTCACACTGGCAGTTCTGCGCTTAATGTAAATCCAAAAAATATTCAAAATTAGATTTATGTCAGAGGTATTAAAGTGATTATTTTATAAAATAATTCAACTATATCTTCCCAAGTAAGCAAAAATGTACATTAATTTCAGTTATAAGAACACAATCTATTCTGTGTCAGTTAAAATATTTACAGTTCCGGGGC